ATTGCAGAAAATGTGTCAAAATATTGAAGTTGAATGATGTTTTCGTATTTGAAACTGCTGTAAGTTGTGATTTAAATTTTAAAAAGCGTCCCTTTAATAGGGGTTGAAATGTGTATTGATTTGACCATTTGGCACACCCAGAAATTGTCCCCGTCCCCTTAAGTCGTTGGCCGTAGTGTATAAAGATATTGGCTCTCTTTTCAGGTAAAAGTCTCCTTAATAGGAGTGTCCCCCGAATGGTGTCTCAAGAGGAGAAATTCTACTGTATTTTACTTCGATATACAAAGAAACTAACATATCTAATTTTTAATTCCAAGTGTTTTAGCTCAACTGTCAAAATATTGTAATTGGAAGACGTGCGGCAATATATCAATTCATATGTTACGCAATGAAGTGGTAGAATAATATAAATTAGCACGGTATGGTACAAGGAATTGTAGGAATGCATAAAGGCCTTGGCTTAACCATAAGTGCTACACTTATTCCTAATATAGAATTTTATAATAAAGCATTTTTTTTTTTAATGATGTTCTCCGTAAAAGAGAGGTACCTGGATTCACGAAATTTAGGGGAATATTGTTACCTTGACCCCATAAACAGAATGTCAACAACAAACATATTTGTGTATGACGTCTGATCGTTCATAAGTGAAATATGCTCCGGTGCGTAACGAATAACATTTTTATTGAATTGTAAAATAAAGCGAGCTGTCAATGAGATATGATTTATTATTTTATTTGTGTTTAAATACTATAGGCCTAGATAAACACAGCAGTTTCCGGTGATTATTTATTCACAAATCCAGTGGCATCATCTTTGCACAGACACTATAGGTTCTGTGATCTATGTAACAATCGCGCGTGCTTGTAGACTGTGGGGCACTCTAGATGATTCTTAATGAATAATCAAACCAATAGCGGGCTCATCCGAATCAATATGTGTGACTGTTTGAATAATTTGGATGAGATGAAAAGAGACAGATAAAATGAAGCAGACCAACATATCCTACTTTGTACAGAGAATTTCCTTTATTGCATATTATTATACTTTTTTACCATAGGCTTCATTTTATACAATTAACCACAATATTTCTTCCGATTTTTATCGTCTGATGAAAGGCTAGTATTGTATGCGAAGCATCAAAAACACTCACTAATGACAATACGTCTGAAGCCGTAAAGATAGGCCTACCATAGGCCTAAATACAAACAATTTACAGAAAATCAATATACTACCTAGTACAACTCAATACTTAAATAAAAGTTGATTTTTAAATTTTGACTTATGGAGCCGGAAAATGAAGCAAGGGAGAAAGGGTGGTCATAATTTTATATTAATTTTTTTTTTAATCAAGCTTTTTTTTCAACGAACTACACCAGCCTGGAACATACTCTCAAAGGAAGTAGGCCTAGGCCATGGTAGCTCTATTTCAACCTTTAAATATTTCCTTTCAAATCTACTAATGAAGGGCAAGTCGAACACCTAAGGTCACAGTGGGCGGGTTGGGAAAGTTCCCTTTACGGAGCTATTCTAGCCATCTTAGAAAAAAACAATTACAAGCTTTTTGTTTGCTGTTGCCGAACCCAAGGTGAGAGCGCTCATTTTGTCACACCCTGAATCCGGCACCTGAAATAATGGCAACCTCTGCCTGGTTGGATACATTCTGGAAAAATCACAACTAAAATTCGTGTACAAGACCATAATTAGAATTACCCGGGTTGAATCTGGAGACTAGTATAGGCCTAGAGAATATACGTCGCAAATAACCAAGTAAAAGCTCGCGTGAGGTAGGCAGTTTTAAGATCCAGACTTTCGGCCAATCAAACCATTTTGTCAAAATTGCTTAATTCCTCATTGCTTTCTACAAACGTTGAAATTACTGATACCCTTAAGCCTTTAAAACAGTTACCTCTAGCCTACATACCCACCATTTTCCCCTCGTTGTTATCAACAGTGGCGCCAGAATTTGCTAGACGGTGGGAGGGGGGTGTAGTCCCATTTTCCCGACGGAAAGAGCAATTTCTCCTACGGCCCTGGAAACTCTGAAAAGTTAGGGATTTGAAAGGCTTATTTAATCAATCATTCTGTAAAATTACATAGACTTTTTTCTCTAACCGGAAAATTGTTTTTTTTTCTTCCGACAGCGTGGGTAATGGGAAAGAGGGAACTCTCTCCGACAAGGGGCCCTGGTCCCCGGTCTCAACTGGCGCCACCACTGCGTATCAACAAACTTTTTAAAGAGTCTTGGTGAATTGTGCGAATATGTTATTTTACGAGACAAATATATTTATGCGAAGAATTATTCAGTGCTTTTATTGCTTACACCTTTACAACCGGTGTTACACTATTGAGAACCATTTTAATGTCGTCTCCTCCACAAATCCCCATCAAACTAAACTTTTAAATCACGTAAAAATAATGTCTAAAGATAAAAATACTTTTTTTTTATCAGCAATCCGTCACTTTAATCAGGTAGGTCTGAGCAGGACAATAGACGGCACAGTTGATCGCATTATTACACTAATATTACAATTAGCACGATTTAATACTTGCAATAGACTCACCTCTCGTCTAAGTTTATGTCTCTACCATTCACAATCACATTCCGTTTCATCAGCTGTATTACAGTAGTGTTGAAATCATAGATTTATTGATTAATGCACCACAATGGCAAATGAATCTGCGTAAAATATTGAAGTTGAAGAGTATACCACAAACTTTAGGACCATATACATACGTTCTTAACTCGAAATTTGCTTAGGATGATAGTGTAAAAATATGGAATCAAGGAAGAAACTAAACGGTATATTCTACAATTGCATGTAGAATCCCTCCTTTGGGACACCCCTATTAAGGGGAAACTTTTCCGTGAAACGAGGGGCGATATATCTTTTAACACTACGGCCAGCCCCTATTAAACGGACACGCCTATTAAGGGACGGGGACATTTTCTGAGTGTGCCAAATGGTCAAATAACCCCCTATTAAGGGGGGACACTTTTTTTATATTGTATCACAACAATACAACCGTCAGAAAATAAGAAAAATTCACTCAACTTGATATATTGACACATTTTGAGCAACTTATTAAGGAACGTTTATCACCTTTCTCACTATTATCACCTTTCTCACTATTATCACCTTTCTACTGCTGTTTGTCAAGGGCGATCTTTTGTTACATAACAATAATAATAATACAAAATTTTGAATCAAGTAAAATAATCCGTCTTTTTTTGGTAGTAGTTTGGTGCGTTTAAGTATTTTCATGGTTTGTTGTTTTGCTTGTATCTGTTAAAAGGTGGTGTTAGATCTGTTCTCTCCTCTTATTTATTTGATTGAATTTTGTTAATTGTTCTGGCATATGTATGAATAAATTGTCCGTTTTAATGAAATTGTTCTATTATTTTTAAGTTAATCTAGGCCTACTACTTTACTTCTCTGTTCCAGAGGTTTTTTTGTATAAATTGAAATATTAATTAATTGATTGAAAATGAAAATTGAATTTTAAGCAATTAACCAGAATTTTCTACACGACATATTTATGTCCTTTATTCAAACACTGTATTTACCTTTCTTTGATGATTTATATAGGCCTATAATTTAACAGTGTTAACAGCTATCTTGCTTTATATTATAATATATATATATATGTATATATATATGTATATATATATATATATATGTGTGTGTGTGTGTGTGTGTGTCTGATCTCATCTTGTCGTCAATTGCCGATCAGAATTCGGTGATTCGTTGAATTTAAATAAAGGCTAAATTTAAATTATTATTCAATCAGAATTTTTTATTCAGTGTTAAGAACATGTGCACCTCCCACAAACACATAATATTAACACTGTCGTTTGCGGGACATTAGCAATAATATGTAAGGGGTGGAGTTAAGTGCAAGGAGTCATTCTGATAAGTTTGATATCCACAAGCATACAGTGTATAGCTTATCTAAGGGGTGGAGTTACGTGCAAGGGGTCATTCTGATAAGTTTGATATCCACAAGCATACAGTGTATAGCTTAAAGACAGCCTCTGGAGCAAAATAGTTTTTGATATGTTGTACAAATGATATTTCGAAACCACGAGTATATTTGACCAAAAACTTGGGAGCAATTAATGAGATACAGATTTTTAAATATTTAAAAGCTGGGGGTAAATGTGAATAAAGGGTAGTTATACCCCCTTTTCCCCAGTTTTAAATATTCAAAAATCTGTATCTCATTAACTGCTTTTGAGTTTTTAGTCAAATATGCTTTTAATGTCTTTAAAAAAATCAGTTGTACTGATTTAAAGCCTGGCTTTAAATGAAAATTCCAAACAAAATTATCTTTCATCTGACGTTATTTTAACTTTTGTTAAACTTTTATTAGAGCATATAGCTAAAGGTTATCTGTAGTTGAATTTTAATAACATGGCTTTGGCATTGTCTGGTATTATATCAAGTATAATTGTATTGATCAAATTTGATCTAAGTAAGGCCGAGACATCCCTGAACCATTAAATGTATATATACTATTTCCATTCTATAAAGTAAATGACAATAAAATAAATCTGTCGGCTGTAACAATCACACCAGACCAGTTTCCCCAATTCGAATCGCAGGTATCTAATACTGCATTTAACATTTGGATAACTATTGTATTGGATTTTTTTTTTTTTATTCAGAAGAGCTATACAGTATTGCTTATTATTTAAAGTATTTAAGTTTGCTTTCAATTTCCATCAAGTATCAAGAGTCAAGAAGCAAAATGATATGAGGTTTTTTACCAACTAGAGCTTGATTTTTTGCTTCTAACATTGTCAGAAAGTGGGGGGAGGGCTGCAGGCAAGCTTTTTTTTTTGGGGGGGGAGGGGGTGTTCCCCTGCGTACCCCTAGATATGCCAGTGTCAACAAGCATTACATAGTTAAAGTTGATGCACCCAACCAATAAACAAAATATTTTACAATATAGTTATTTCTTCAAACAACCAAGAAAACAACAACTGTGAGGCCAACTCTTTCTTTATGTACATAGGCTTGCCCTCATGTTTAATTTAATTTCCACTCCTTATATGGTCATCATTACAGAAACAATTTATAAACTACATATTATCATTTATAAGACCACATTGGTCAACAACTCTATTGACAAACTAGACATGAGTTTTATCAAAATGAAAATCAGTTAAACTAGTTAATTGAATTTAAATACATTTTATAGGACCCTTCCAGCTTATAAAGAAAGTTCAAAGACAGATGAAAAATATTTTGTCATAAAAGAATATAAAGAATACATTTTAATCTCAATTAAATTTCTTGGGTGATCATAGTACCATATCATTTATAGTTTAAAATATACACAGATAAATTTAGAAATTTAAAATGCAAGCTAGTCTACTCTAACCTCGAACTCAAATATTTACAAGTATTAAGTACTTTTGACCAAAATATATTCTTGTATATTGATACGATTTGTCCTGATTTATAAAGTGGAAGAGTCTCATTGTGAATGAAAATTATGTCTTGATGGTATGTGCCACTTTTCGGTGGAGGGGATGTCCTGGTACTGTAAGTGGATGCAAAACTCCTTGGTACAGGATTCCGTTGATTTCCATGCTAACTACCATTGAGTTGTCGGATCTTGATTCAAACAAAGGCATCCCACTACCTAGCTCACCTGTAATGAAAAGAATAATAATTTATTAATTTTTAAACCAAAAAGTAAAAAAGTGCTACAAGACTACTTTTAAAAAGTATAAACTAACAATCTTCAGTCTTCCAATTAAAAGCTAACCTTCTAATTGGAGACCAAAGTTTAAAACACTCCAAATTCCAGGTCCCACAGGTAGTTTCAAATTAAAAGATGAACTGCATAATATATTTGAAGTCAAGCTCCAAAGGAAAAAAAACTTTTTGACATGTTGTACAATTGATTCTTTCTAAGACACAAAAAAGCAAAGGTTTCACCTTTTCTGGGCATCACATATTAAAAAAATAATAATATTTGATGAAAAACTTGGGAGCAGTAATAAGATACAGGTTTTTGAATATTTAAAAACTGGGAAAAAGGGGCATACCTACACTTTTTTCCACCTATTTCCCCCCCAGTTTTTAAATATTCAAAAATCTGTATCTCATTAACCACTCCCAAATTTTTCGTCAAATATGCTTTTCGTGTATTAAAATCCTCCGGAGCCTGACTATAAGAGTACTGTAACTGTAATATATCTTGAAAGAAATTCATCAGGGTATCTCATAGTCAATAGTTATGTTTTAATTAATGTAGACGAATGAAATGTCTTAAGTGAGTACATTTAAATTTGGTTAAAGAAAAAGGAAATTAAAACATAACTATTGTAATATAATGTCATATAATATGTAAATTAAATGAACTTTGAACTTACTCCTACTAGTGGAAATTTTCAGGTGCGTTGTGGGATACATGAGATGTTGCTGTTGCATCAAGAACCTTTGGTAGGCTTCCTCTGGCATTAATGGACGTTTTGAAGGTAAGGGGCCACCATGGTCTACTATGGGAGAATGATGATGCTTTGATGGGCGTGGTGTTGGTGGTAGACTCTCTTCGTCACCTACAATAAGAGAATATTGTTACATAAGTAGTTATAATATTTTTATAACTTTCTTCACTATTATTGTTTTTATTATTATTAATCTTCTTTTTCTTTATTCTTTATTCAAAAATCTATCAAAATTTTAACAAGTCATGTTCAAATTGAATGTTATATTACAAAAGATAGATATCAAAATTACAACATGAAAATATGACAAAATTTACAATTAATTAGGTATATATAAAAAAAATTACAATTTGAATTAAAAAATAAAAAAGATGGATTTTAATATTTTTCAATATTTTTACAGTTTGCACATAAAGCATACATATCAAAACCATAACATTTTCATGCATTGTCCATAAGCCCAAGCCATGGATGATTTATCCTGAAACATTTATAGTTGAATATGATGAATAAAAAATTATATAAATGAAGCATAGTATACTGGCACTTGCATACCTGATGACGACAAGTTTGATGGAATGGATGCTGGGTGCATATGAGGTCTATAAAATCCTGAATATGTGATGGGAATACTGGAATGAATCGGTATCATAGTCGGTGATGGAGACTGTGGCTCGTGCAATGCGTACCCAGCATGCGTTTGATAATTACGACGTCCTTCACGTCGATTGTTATCAATAGCAGATTGAAGTTCCTCTGGAGTGCTAAGTCCTTTGGTCTCACATTCATATGGGTAGAGATATTTCATATACCTGGAAAGATAAATGAAAGTATATTTTTTTTTTTTATAATTTTTTTATTTATTCATTTATTTATTATTTCTTTATTCTGAAATGCACTTTCAATACAAATGTACTGATTTCCAAAGTGGTTTATTAAAAAACAAAAGTATATAAAATCAAATGATACAAGTAACATAACTAATTAAAAAAAAATGAATTACAACAAACATAGAGAAAAAGTACACAGTTCAATGGTTTTCAATTTAAAGGTAAACCAAAATTTAAAAATTTAAGTTTGGTATTTTAATTGAGTATTTAAGTTGGCATTTTGGCACCGAATACAGTGCAGGACACTGTATATACATTCATTTATTTTTCTATCAATGTAATTGAATATAAAATGGTAGGCTCATGTTAGGTACCAACAGTGGACAAAGAAAGGATAACGTACCCATAAATGATGAAATTTTCAAAAAGCATGGATTATTGAGGTCTCAACAGAATGATAACTTTACCACATGGGATTGTGAATTTGAAAAGAGACAGAGAGACAGAAATATTTTTTTTACATTGCAAAAGACATCATTGTACAAAGTAATTACTTCCTGTTGGCCCTGTGCCAATATTATAATGTTAAAATTCAAACAAATCTAATAAAAATCAACATCAAATTGTATCATGTGTGGAATAATATAATACAGAAGATTAATATAAGAAAAAAAAAACTGGTGCAAAAAAATTCTCTCATATTGAGCAGGTATATTTTTGTTATCTGAGTATTTAGAAAATGGCATTGTTTTATTTATTTTATTATTAATTAATTAATTATTTATTGTACTGTACTGCTTGGGGGTGGGGATAAATGTATGTAGTTAAGAAAGGGACCAAGCTTGATTAGAGCAATTCTATTTCTTGGCTCCCATTGTAAGTCATACCATGTTGTTTCATGTATGTTTTTGCAATAAAGAAGTCAATAATAAAATCAGTCAGGCCAAACATCCCATCACCCCATATAAAACACCTCAGAACAGCTAAAAATTTCTCCAAATTGTCCAGTTTTTAGGCACCATGAGCCCCAACAGGGCTGTGCACTACATACTGATAGTTTCTCTTGAAAATAGTCAGATCTGCCTATCGGACAGCTTAGCCACACCCACCCCCTAAATGTATAGACATATAATGAACGAATACAAAAAAATGAAGATACAACAAAGCAAGCACATAAACAAAAAAGAAAATTATATGTTAGATAGCTAGATAGACACAGTGGATAGTTAGATTTAGAATCATAAAAATTAGAATGTGTGTCATCAAGACACAACTTATATAAAGACTAGATAGCCAGAGAGATGATCAAACAGATGATTAATAGTTAATAAATAAATAGAAAGTAAATAAAGTGGAATACTGACTGTGTTCTAAGGGTGAATGCAGCACTTGTGATGGAGGATGGCAAGTTGAGGCCTTTTGTAATCTCTCTCCACATCTTCTTGTTGATGACTTCAACTAAACCTCCTTTGGAAGTTACAAGTTTGAACAGCTCATACAGGTCTAATACTTGTTTTGCCATTATTGGAATGCGATTCACAGGTGTTCCTATAAGTGAAAAAAAAAAAATATCAGAAATTAAGTTACCTTCATAGGAATATATGGCATTGACAGAAAAGTAAAAAAAACCCCCAAAACAATCTAACTTATTCAATTTGATACTGTATAGAATAATCACGCTCATAAGGACCAAGAGTTGGAGTAATCATTTTTTAAATATTATTTGACATCATACTAGATTTTAATTGATTTGGACTTCTTTATGTATTTTTCATTTCATTTTGTATTCAAGGCCTCTTCACACATTTCACACACCCCCATATCTATAACTCACAATTAAGGTCTGGTCTATTTTCTAACTTATGAACAATTCCCTTAAAAGCCTGCTTTTGTATACTATTCTCAATCCATTGTGATGAGCACTTTGTATTTGGTAAACTTTTTAAATGGATATCCTGCAACTGTATTTATCATGAAGTGTTTCATCTTTCTTGCATAATTATGTAACATTCTCTAGTCACTGCAATCAAGTAAAGAAGTACTTGAGGGTGGTAATGAACAGAGAGATCAAGAACAGGTGGAGAAGGGTATTGGTACCTGAAGGAGGAATACAGACACAAACTAAAATTGTATGGGTGTAAAAAATACCCCAAATATTTGAACAATTAGAATTGGCTATTCAGAAACATTGTTAAATGAGAAGCAGGACTTAATGGACCTTTTGAAGGGTCTCTAAGCTGATAAAATTTAGGGAAGGGGCTTTATCGCAGACTTTCTTCCAAGGCACATTCTTCACCCACTTTACTTCAATTTGAACTAAATCCATAACATATTATTCATTTTTAACATCAAAATTAAACCATAAAAAGAGTAAAAATTGTTCTGATCGATTACATTATTTTGTAAACATTCAACAATAGCTCTTCCCATGTGATGTCACTGATCACTAAATTATTTTGACATGATTGTGTCAAAATGACATACAATGAGTCACATGTTAGGCAGCAATAGGTTTTAGTGACCGGAGGATGGTGAAATTCCTCAGCAGACAAGTTCCTAACAATGGCATAGTGGATTAAACTGGTTCTAATTATGCAATAACAGAACCACGATACATTGAATCATGTATTATATATACTCCTTTTTATCAATTTGTCGATTCAAATAAGCATTTAAAGACAATCACAAAAAATATTATTATTAATAATAACAAGAATGACGACGGTGATAATGATTAACATGATGTTGACAATGACGATGATGATGATGATAAATAATATTAATATTAAAAATAACAATAACAATACTATACAGTACTTGGAAATACAACTATAAAAATACATTTAAATCATAAAATCAACATTAAACAATCATTCAACCATGGGAACTGTCGCAAAGAAATAATGTAAACTCATTGCCGAGACATAAAAACAAACTTCATATAATTAGTTTATAAAAATAATTAGATAATTGTGAGAAAGAGAATAAGAAAGTTTACATTGTCAACATATACAAACTATTAAACTTTATTTATACCATTAGGACCGGAAGACGGGAGGAAATAGAAGGTATGAGACTGTTTGTATAACATGCTATACAATCTAGTGGTTGTTTTCACTACAACGTACTGATTACCTGGGAATATTGATCTTGATTGTCATTATATAAATACGATAAAATAAGCAGCTGATATGGCAGAAAATGAACTTTATTATAATTAAAATCTCTTGTTATGTGACACGAGATTCTGAGATTGGGATTACACATCTATGGTGATTAAAGTACAAAGAGTACTTGGAGAGTAAGTTTAATAGGGGAAGTTATTGGGATGTTTACACTATCTCAAAAACTCCGTTCAAATGTCAATCAATTTTTGGAATTTAAAATGGTGCTAAAAATTGTATAGTCCAACTATTAAAATTAACATTATTACTTTGTGTCATTAATTTATTATTTTGAGTAAACAGGAATAACTTCTTGAATAATCATTAGTTAATAAATATAAATATTACATTTATGGCTCTCGTTACATTACACTAGAAATATAAAATACATAAGTATTATTTTTAGCATCATGGTTATTTTTAATTTTATTAATCAATTTTTTTTAATGTTTTGTTATTCAGTTATTGTGCATTTTTATAATGCCCTTTTATGACTTTATGTATACAATTTTGATATAAGCTTTACCATGGAAAAAAATATTACTGTTATTATTATATTTGAATATATTACTCTATCATCATTAGCATATCTGCAAATGAAATAAGGGAAAAATAGCATGATATTTAAGCTCCACCAGCAACGTAGGAACAGAAACTGAAAGACTGAATGGGAAGTAATCATTCCATTATGGAAATATAAGAACCTATGGAAAAAAAATTTAACAGTATGCCTGGCGGAAAAGTTTGTTTTCTTTATCTGCAGGTTCCCATAATGTTAATCGATATCAAGATAATTTACATGAAGTTGTGAAATGTTTGATTTCCTTCTGCGCCGACTGAGCTAATTGTTTACCTAAAAAAACTGTCCAGATATCAAAATATTTCTCTTCACACCTGCCCAGAATCAATTTCATGAATATTTAAAATGTTTTTCTTTTTTGTTAAACCAAAAACAAACTTACCGACGTTACAAAACCAGATTTATTTCAACAAGTTTTTCTTTTTGTTTTGAATCTTTTATTTCAAGTATTAATAACTAATGTAGTTTATCTTTTCATTTTTAATTAAAATTAAAAAATAATAAATGTTAACCAATCTCCAGCAGGAGAAATTTGGCACCAACTAAAGGAAGTTGGTAGTCAGACTTTAATTTACAAATGTAAATTAAAATGCATTGTACCATAAATATAAACCATGAAATTGTTCCTATCTAAACTTGGAAAGTGATAACAAGAAGCAACCTGTGCTGTGAAACTAGCCATCACTGCAACGTTTAAGGCGCAAAGGCCAGCCTGCTTGTAATTCACAGATGCTCAAGTGATACCAGCATCTAGACTTTCCTATCCTAACACCTAGCTACAAAAATAAATAAAAACTAACTATTAGATGCACCATACTTTATAGTAATAATAATAATAATTATAATTATAATAATAATAACGATTGATAGTCTCTCTTTAATTTGTTCTATTAAAACAGTCTCTAATCAGTTGACATCTGGAGATAAGGCCTTTATTAACTACTTGTTCAAGAATTGATTTTGTAACTTTCTTTTTTTTTTTTTAATTACAGTATCGTTTTATACTTTACCAATTCTGTATAAATTTATGGCAATATTTTAAGGGTGTTGTAATAAAAGATTGTTTGGAAATGATCAACAATGGAAGGAATGTATATTATAAGTGTTTAGGATGAGAACTTTCATTTCTTTAATTTAATTTTCTTTTGTGCAGCCAAGTATAAGGGGGTGAGCTAGTCATTCAAAAAAAAAATATGTGTTGGAACTTTAAAAAAACAAATATTTCCTGCTGTCAAATTAACATTTAGAAAATTTAATTATTGCACTGTCATATTTTTTCAAACTAAGGCGAGACTACTATTATTCCTTGTTTCACTTACTTATTTTTTTAAAGATCTTTTGAGGACGGTGGAATAAAAATAAAATTTTTCTAATTTAGCAAAGAGTTTTGCCAAAGAGTTTTGCCAAAACATCAGGACAGAGAAAAAAATAAAAATAAAATTTTATTGGCGAATATAAAATAGGATGGTTAAATACTTTAAATTTATATAACTAGGAAGAAATATACATCTTGTCTTTGGAGATTTCAAGGCAGCGGAAGGCGTAATAAAAATCAAGAAAAACTTATTTTTATTAAATGGACACGGGTGTGCTAATTGGCCAAAAATAAAATTTTATTTTTATTCAAAATCATCAATATTTGTAGTTGACGGGTTGCTAAACAAGGTATAAAAAAAGTCTCTAACTTCTTTTATTTCTTATTTCATCATCAAATATAATGTATATAAAAACATTATAAATATTTGATCATCAAATACCTAATACCTAATGAAAACCAATGAATTTTTTCAATAATTATAAATATTACTTATACAAATATAGCAGGATGATCAAATATATATTAAATATCTCAAATAATGATTTGACAAAGTCTCCTGATGAAGTTCACTGTGTGGACAAAAGCTAGAGAATAAATTCTATATCGTTAGTCTCAAAAGTGCTACTGTCATTTACTTTATGTTGTCAAGTAATGATGAAAGAATTTAGTAGATCATCTTGTAAATTGGTGTAATGATAATCATCTTCAGATTAATGTGAAAAAAACAAAAGAAATGATTTTCGACTTCAGGAAAAAGAAAGAACATGTACTTGCACCCCTTGAAATAAGTAACAGTGATATTGACACTTGTGCAGAATACAAATACCTTGGAGTTTGGTTTGATGATAGATTGAATTGGAATGTTAACACCAATAAACTGTTAAGGAAACTTAGGGTTTATAATGTAGGCAGAGATGTACTCTTTCTTTTTTTTTTTTTTTATCAAAGCATGGTTCAATCTGTGATTACATATTGTTTTGTGTGGTTAATGGGTTTGACCAGAAAGAACCAAGACCAACTCAACAAGATAAAAAAGTCGGCAGCAAAAATTATAGGTTTAGAAGTGACTAACATTGAGAGCATATATCAGAAAAACCTGTTAACTAAACTTGGTGCAATAAGAATAACGATACTCATCCGTTAAATAAATATATTGTAACAAGTAGATCAGGTAGATTAGTAACAACTCAGACTCATACAGTGCGATATGTAAATTCATTCTTGCAAAAGTTTAATTCGTCTTTCAACTTTCAACGATAATTGTTGCATACTTCAGTAGATTGCTCTAGTTAAGGATATTACAAATAGTAAGAGTACAGTACTTGTAAATAAATTGTAATTAAGAACTTGATGAATAATGTACGTTTTTATATTTTTATTACTAATATATTTATGATTGTACAGTATGAATGATTTCTGAGAAGAATGTTTTTTAGGTTTAAAGTTAAGAATGTGTTGTACTAATATCGTTACTGTTTTTCTTATT